AACAAAATTCTTTAGCTCTCATACTCATTTCTAATAATATATTAGGATAATAAAATATTTTGTACGTAAATTCAAAAAAAATTTCAATTTTTTTTACCACGCATTCTCCAAAATATTACTATTCAAAATATCATTTTTCTCAATAATAACCATCGAACCGGGGCTTAATCTAAGATTAATGATTTTAACATAGAATCTTTATGATTTGCCTCTCCCTCTTTTTGAAAATCTTCACTTTTCTCTCTAAAAGTAATAAATTTGGGCCCATGTTTGGTGTAAACTAAGGCCCCGTTCGGGAAGGATNAATTTGGGCCCATGTTTGGTGTAAACTAAGGCCCCGTTCGGGAAGGATTAAAATCCAATTAAAATTGAAAATATGACCGTTATTGGGTCCCACTCGTCTAATAAAAGTCAACAATAACGGCTATATTTTCAATTTTAATCCCTCCCATACAGGGCCTAAAAGTTGTTAAAAAATTTGAAGTCAAAGTTTTAACAAATAATTTTAGCAATATTTCACAAAACTCGTAACTTTTCAACAAGATATTTCATTATCTTTTATCAAAATCTATTAAAATTCTACGTGGACCTAATTTGAAACATGTTCATGGCCTTGGGTTTTGATTACACACGAAATTAAAGGCATAGTTAGGACAAAAAAACTGTTGAAAAGGGCTACGAATCACATGCTTTTTCTAAGAGAAAAATAAAATAAAATATTGGATAGTTCTATGGAATTTCCCTAACTTATTTCACTCAAACACAAGTAGTCTAAATAAGGGGCCTATTTTTTGGACATGGCTCGATTATTCCAATGACATCTTTCGTCATTCCTAGAACCATTCAATTGACCCAAAGAAATTCATATTCAACAGACGTAGGTGGAATGCAATTTTTTCAACAAGAAAAGGTTCTTGAATTTTCTCGTACCCTGGTTCTATGCAGTGCATCCACCCCTTAATGATAGAGGCTGAAAATAAAATAAAAAAACCTTGAAAACCGAAGCCCCCGCGAATGACGGCCAACGAACCGCCTAGAGGTTCGTGGTAACTACTTTTCTTTTTGCTTCTTGTGGACATTGATCATATGGTTTCTTGATTTTCTGTCGATTTGAAAATTATACGTGAAAGTTAATACGTCGAAGAAAGATCAAATTATGTACATTTTGGCACCCTATGATAACTTTACATGTATTTTAGTAAGGTAGTAGTAATGGAATAAATTTACATACAATAAGGTAGGTAGTAAATTTTACTCTAGAAGTTGATGTATAATTAATTCATAATTTAGCCCTTGTTTGGTGCATATTTTGGGGTCAAGAATGCATTTTTTTCATTGATATGATATGAAATATGTAGGTGAAAAAAAAAATTATTGATTTAATATAAAATATTATTTTATTGAAGAACGTGTGGTTGAAATTGAGTAGAAGAATGAAAATGAAAAAAATAATGTGGTTCAAACAGTGGCTTATTGTTTTAAGGTATAAAATATTTACCTATGAAGAAGAAACAAGAAAATAATTTGGATCGAACCTTAATCCTTACGAGAGCAACAAAAACAAATGAAATCGGATATAAGCAAAGCAAACACGCATATGTTTAGTAATTCATTTTCAATATAAGAGCTACATACTTCACTAGAGAAAAATGGGTATTTAATTCCATTTGATCCCATAGTTTTTATCTCTCTCTGTTAGCATCGACCAAGTTGAATATAATTAAAAAAAATAATAATAATAAAAAGAGGTTCGGTGTCGGCATCGACCGAGCAGGTAACAAAAAAATAAAAAAATAAAAAGAAGACAAGGTCAAGCCGTGGTCTAGGACATGAATGTAAAGTATAATGGTCTCACCAACCCCCAATACGTGAAAGCATAAAACAACTAACAAATGCAAAATTAATAGCGTAAGATAGTGAGACAGACTTGAACTCAAAACATTATAGCCAACGGTTTAGAACACAATTTATTATAAATAGAAAAAAATTATTATATCATTATTGACTAATGAAACCAGAAGAATCAGAACATGCATGAAGAAAAAGACATTCCCTGAATTAATATGTAAATTCATTTGCTGCTGGTTTTCATAAAATTCAGTTTAGAGTTGTTAGTTTCAATTACAATTTCAAGGGGCGCAGCAAAAGGTTTCTAATTTTAGGTTTTATGGCAGAAATTCATGTTTTTGTATGGCACTAAGTAATTCAAAACATGTGAAAATTCGACTCTATTTGCTAAAATTATAATGGAGAGAGAGAGAGAGAGCTCAGCAGTAAAATATATAAAATTTTAAATATTTAATTTCCTTTAATATTGTCGTGTCGTGTCGTGTCCATATACCTTTCCATTTTTCCAAAATATATCTTGTCATCTTCGATGAATATCATTACCAATATCTCTAACATTTGGGGATTGCTAAAATTTGTTGATGGAAAATTATAACGGGAAAAAAAGAAGAAAATTTGGGTAATTTTTACCATTTTTAAAAAAATATTTTTCAAAATTTCAAGATATTTTGCCCAAATATCTTTTCGACAGCTGTTTGAATAAAAGGCATGATTATTAGTTAATTGTATTTAGTATTTTTTTTGATACATAGGTGTCCACTTTCGACCACTAATCATGTGGTCTATGCCTTGACCCCTCAAGACTCAGATCAAGTAAACCGCGGGATGTGCCCCAAACTGGCTAGATCCAAGAGCCCTCTCCACTGATCTGTCAAAGTGTCGAGCGAGTCAACACATGTTACACCTTGCCTTTATATATACACTCTTATGGAATGGTAATTTATAAATGGAATTATGTATGAATTTGGTAGAAGAAATTATAAATCTTCCTTATTTTACTAAGTCTTACTTTTTTTTATAATATACTTTAATGGTAGAAATCTATAATATTAAATGAGAATTTCTAATATTTTTTTTTTTATTTACGAAGTCCTTATTCAATCTCAAGTTTCGTAGGCCTAAAAAACCATTACCAAGAGGATCATGGATGAGGTTTTTACACACAAAAATAATAATAATTATAATAATAAAAAAATAAAAAATGTGAAAAATGGAAGGAATTTTTACTAGACGCCCATCAACCTATTCAAGCTACAATTTTTTTTTTTTTTAATATCGATCTTAAGTCCCAACAAGTTAGGGAAAAGAGAGCAATTGAACCAAGTTTATGTTCGGTTTAGATAAAAATTAGATTTTTAGAGCCTGTTTGGTACAGATTCTCATTTTCTACAGTAAATCAATTTTCGTTTTCAACCACATATTCTTCAATAAAATAATATTTTCCATCACACCAATACTTTTTTCTTCTTTTTCAACCACACATTTCCCATCATATCACTATTCAAAAATCAATTCTTCCCCAAAAAATCCCTACCAAAAGTTGTGGATACTATGAAATTTGTAGTTAAAATTATGATTCCTTTAAATACGTTTTGATTTTTTCCAAAGAAAAAAGTGCATTTCGAAATTATTATTTTGCACCGAATATTCATAACAATTTGTTAACGGTAAATTCCAAGGGAGTAAGATAAAAAATACTAACATATAAAAGTTTGTATCAACCCTCTAAACAATGTTGACATTTTAAATTGGTGAGTCCTAACATGGAATTATTGGGTTCAAACTACCAATTTATTGAAAGGCATAAGTTTTAAATTTTGATGAGAAATATGAATCAAACCTATATGTGAAATGACTTGTTGAAATATTTTAATGATATGCACACAAGTCTCTCTAATAATTTAGGTGTTTGAATTGAACGATTCAACATGTCCGAGACAAAAGTAATTAACAAGAAAAGTTTTTGAAACATTAAATGGTTCAATCTGTCTAGAAACTCAAATGCGAGTCATCAAATTCGAATATGGAAATTCTAAATAACAAGTCACAATCAAGAAACTTCAATATTGAGACGTTTGAAACAAAATAATTTGACAAGAAGTCATAATTCTAGCTCTAGAAGAGAATATAGAAAAGGGACCAAAAGAAGGGAAAATTATTGCAGCGGCCCCTAATCTTTTCATTTTTTACAGACTTTACATTAACCTTCATTTTGTACTAACAAAAGTTCAAAACCTTTCATAAATATACAGCTGGAGCCCAAATGAAAACATCCATTTGACCGTTAGTTGACTAATAAAATTGATTTTGAGCAAATCTAAAATGGGTAAAATGGTAAATTCATTATTTTTTCACATAAAACAATTAAAAAAACATAATAAAAGGATTTGTTCATCTCCCCCCTAACCCTACTGCCACCCCAACTTCACCCCACCAACTCTGAATCAGAACCAGCCCCCTCCTCCTCCTTCTTCCACGGTCACTCTTTGTCGCCACAGTCTTTGCCTTCCCCACCAATTTCCATTTCCACCTCCATCCCAAAACAAAACCACTTGTTCTTCTACAGCCACAACCCGTCGCTATCACTCTCCACTACCACTAACACTACCACAGCCTTCGCCTTTCCCACCAATTTCCACCTCCACCTCCATCTTAAAACAAAATCAATTGCTCCTCCATAGCCACAATCCGCTACTGCCACTCTCTGTCTCCGCCTCCGCCTCCGCCTTCATCACCAATCCCCACCTCCACTTTCTTTCCAAAACAAAACAAATTGAAACCTATCATACAAAAGCTCGATTATCAACCACTTTCATCACCCAATTTTAATCTTTATATCAAACACCTCATAGGCATTCAACAATATTCCATTTTGACAGTATGAATTGTTCAATGTAGTGAATGTAACAACATTGGGTTGGAACTCATTCTTCTTGCAGTAACTAGTTATCATAATTCAGTGTGTGCAATTATCATAGGCTAAACCGACAGATAATAATTTGGACTTTAATTTCGACGCTAATTTAAACTCATTGTCGTGACCAAAGCCATAAGAAAATGGTTGAATTCTAAAATGATTGGTAATCTGCCATCTCTCTTGAATTTATTTACAACTTCATTTTTTTTTTTTGGAAAAGTGAGAATTGCTATAAATGTTTCAAGAAAATCTTGGAACTCTTGGCAAAAAATGGGATACCCTTTGGGCTTTGAGCAGAGGTAGAAAGTGCTGTAGAAATGAGAAAACTACTTTGTCGAGACCTGTTGTAGGTGCGGTGGTCTTGGTGTCGATCCCAAACAGGGATAATTGCAGCGGGAAAGTTGTGGCAGTTGTGGCATTGGGCGTTGGTGGCTCTGGTTTTTTGTTTCGGTAGGAGGAGTGGGGATGGGGCGAAGAAGGAGATGAATACTTTTTTTTTTTTTCCTTTTTTTTTTTTTTAGCTATTTCAATTGTTTTATGGGGTTAAATAGCAAAGTTACTCTTTCACTCTTTCAATTTGATCAATTAATAGTCAAATAGATGTTTTTCATCCATTTGGACTCCAACTGCATAGTTATGAAAGATTTGAGACCTTTGCTAGCATAAAATGAAGATTAGAATAATGTCTGTAAAAATTGAAAAGATTAGGGACCGCTGCGGCAATTTCCCCCCAAAAGATTCCAAAAATGTACTTGAAAATTGTATACAAACCGACCCGAGTTAAGTCTTGAGGGGGATTAAGAAAAGCCGGAAAAAGTAGCGATTCTTCGTCCCTTATTTCTGTGAAGTTACTTATAAATTGTCCACACCTTCCGTCTGTAACTTGTGTGTTCAATTTGTGAATTAGTGCGTGTCTTTTCCAACTATCTTTCTCTTCATAAGCTAGACCAGACCCCATCCCATCCCATCCCACCCCATACCCTCCTCTGTTCTCCCCAACTTCATTGCCATTAGACTTCCCAGTCTTCTCCAGGTACTTTACTTATATGTTTTGTGAGTCAGGATTATACAGTACTCGAAACTATGATTTTATGAGACATTACATATGTGAATGCAGATTGCAGAAAAAGAGTGAAATGACCAACCAAAGTTTGGTGATTACTGATGCAAAATCAGGCCTTAAAATGGCAATTGCAGTTGCTATGTCTGAATCCAATCTATACTCAACCGCCATGCCCAAGCCACTGGTCGCAACAAATGGCTACTTTCCAAGAAAAAAGTTGATTAAAAATGGAGGAGGAGCCAAGATTATTGCCTTTACCGATTCAATGAGGGCTTCTTCGCCAACTCGTCGAGCCACTGAAACTGAAGATCAAAATTCTTGGATTGTAAGCATCATCAACTCTACTTAAATTATAAGCACTTATCTTGAAAATAAGTTATTATTTGCCTGATAATATATGCTTAAACAGATTCGTCTTCCATCGGCTTTAAGCATGTTCGAGGATATCATGAATGCTTCAAAAGGAAAGGAAATAGTGGTGTTTCTTGATTACGATGGTACATTATCACCCATTGTCGAGGATCCTGATCGTGCTTTCATGACTAATGAGGTTAACTAATTTCTTCATTAAGCAAATCTCTACTTATAATTCATTCCAACTTATTTTCATTAATCCTCTCTCTCTCTCTCTCCATTTTGTATTATAATCAGATGAGAGAAGCAGTAAGAGATGTAGCCAAATTTTTCCCCACAGCCATTGTAAGTGGAAGGAGCAGAGCCAAAGTGCATAATTTTGTGAAATTATCAGAGCTTTATTATGCAGGGAGTCATGGAATGGACATCATGGGACCAACAGAAGGACCCAAAAACCAAAGAAAAGTTAGTTTTCATCACACGTAATGGTCCATTCAGTACTGTACATTTTGTTGCATAATTTTTTCATATTTTGATTTTTTTTTTTAATTTACCTGTTTAGGGAAATCAATCTGTCTTCTGCCAACCTGCCAGAGAATTTTTGCCAATGATTGATGAGGTAGGTTTCTATCTATTTCACTCTCATTGGAAATTCCAAAATTTTCTTACCGCAGTCGGTGTCTCAATTCTAATCAGTCATCTTTTCTAGGTAAACAAAATTTTGTTGGAGAAAATCAAATTCGTCCCAGGTGCAAAAGTTGAAAACAACAAGTTTTGTCTATCCGTACACTACCGTTGCGTAGATGAAAAGGTAAAAAAAAAAATTTGTCTTTCACGTCATTTCTTAGATTTTCTTTCGATGGAGAAATTTGAGAGAGATTTAATTTCTTTTACTTGTTTATTAGATTTGGGGCTCACTAGGAGAGCAAGTTAAAGAAGTGATCAAGGACTATCCAAAGCTCAGATTGAGCCAAGGGAGGAAGGTGTTGGAGATTCGTCCTGCTATTAAATGGGACAAAGGAAATGCACTTGAATTCTTGTTAGAGTCATTAGGTGAGCGATGAATATTATTTTTTAGTTGCTATTTATATAAAACCCGCTTCTAGCACTAATTTTTTTTTTTAATTGGATCTTCAGGTTACGACAAATCGGACAATGTCTTACCAATTTATATTGGTGATGATCGCACCGATGAAGATGCATTCAATGTACGAATTGATTCTGGAGTTGAGATTCCTATTATAAAAAAAGTTTTAGCCAATGTTTTTTTTTTTCGCGAAAATCATATTTTTAGTAAATTCTGATGAAAGTTAATGAAATATGTAATTGAAAGGTTGAAAAAAGTTGTGGATCCATTAAATGTGCAGTTGAAATTAATTGTTAATTTTAACTTACGTTTTTATCAAGTTTTTTAGCTAAATCAGACGACAGCTTAATACATGAACTAACGGTGACTTTTAATTTTAAGGTTTTGCGCAAGAGAGGACAAGGTTTAGGAATTCTAGTGTCTAAAGCTCCTAAAGAAACAAATGCTTCATATTCTTTGCAAGAACCATCCGAGGCAAGTATAATGAAGATTCTCTAGATTTATTTAAGGACGTTTTGAATTAATTTAAGTGTTAAATTATTAATGCTATATTGTTTCATATTTGACAGGTTATGTACTTCCTCAAACGTTTAGTGGAGTGGAAAAAATCATCCTTACTAGGACATTAGAACGAGCACCTCCCTACAAGCATAGAGGAAACAATCGACTCCTACCCTCGAAGTTTTATTAGGGGTACGAGTGATGTTGAATTTATGCACCAAAATTTGTTCGATTGTAATGATCCCGAAGGGAACCCTTTTTTTTTAATTGGGTATTTCATAAAATGTAAGAGATTTACGTTAGTAGAATAAACATTTTTCTCTCATTTTTATTCGTGTCGTTATCTTAGAATAAACGTTTTCGTGGTGTTATTTTTCTCCCTTTTCAACAAGCTACGTGAGTTAAAGTCTTGTCTTGATTATAGATACACTTTGCTACCAAATCAGACGGCTCTAAAGTGATCACACGTGTGTAGTAGTTTGGTGCCGGCAGTTGGTGAACTGTACCAGAAATCTTTCCGAACGTGCAAAAAAGTATAGTAAGCTTGAACAGGCAGCCAAATGGGAACATTCCTAGCACAAAATGTGCAAATCTTATGAAAAGGAATAATTCTATCCAGGCATCAATATTTTAACACGTTTACATGTGATACGAGACAATATTATCATGCTTCAGAATAAGATTTAGTGGAATTTCAATTCAAAATTACAACTTGTCATGCAAAGAATCAGTATATAATCCAAAGAATTAAAGCTGGTCAATATGATTAAGCATGTTGGACTGACTCCCTAGTTCTTGATCTCTTAGACCAAGGGAAAAGAAAGAAAAGAAAAAAAAAAAGAAAAAAAGAAGTCACATAGACTAATAGATACTATGTACGTTTGGTACATAGTACTAGATGGTATATTTTTAGTTTAATTTTATTCGTTGTTAATTACCTCAAGATTGGTTGATTAGTCATCATGGCTTGAAGCAGGTTTAAAAGATCAACAGTTGCTCAGACTAACCAATCCTCCATACGACACATACCATTAAAAAAAATTCGGGGTAAGTTTGAAACACAGTATTAACGACATTGTGTGCAACAATCAATGAACTTTTTTTTTTTGTTTTCTCCAATATTATTCAATTTGGTTGAATCTTACATACCATGCATTTCATTTATGGGACCCATAATTTTTATCAACTTTTTAACTGTACATTTCATCAAATTATTAAAATCTAATAAAATTTAATTTTTAGCAAAATCAAACAAGAAGTTACCCGAGAATGCGAAATTTCTCCATTTTAACTAGGATAGAATAAGGGGGAAATTCATTGGGAACCATGCATAAATGATAAATATTAAAACATCTTCACATTTCCCTTAAATCTAGTATAGTTTTACCAATAATCATGCATATATACAAGTTGCAACACTTCCAAAGATGAGGGATGGTCTATATTATTTGGCGCAAAAGATATATGCACATGCATTGATTCACTCAGACATTAAAGGATGATAACTTTAGGCAGTCAAACACTGTTTAATTTCTAATTAATCATCTTTTTTTAAGTTTTTAAACCATACTTCCACTATCTTAAACAATAATTAAGGCATCCTAATAGTTGTAAAGACATATTGGAGTCAGAATTAACAGCAAGATCCAATCAAAAAAATTTAATTAACACATGCTTGAAGGAAATTCAGTATATATCTTGTGTTTATCCATTACAAATTTAATTAATTATAAACATAAACATGGCAAATCCAAAGCTGATATATATCGATCTTCAAAATGAGTCTCTTTTTGGCATTTAATTTATTAATTCGGTTAAACTCAAACATTAATTTCAATAAAGTTGATTATAAGTGAACATATAAATAATTTTTTATCACTATCACTGAACTTATCTTGTGTAAGTGATACAGTCATTGAAGAAAAATATTCATAATATACAATATGACTGCATTTAGGGTAGGTAAAAAAGTGAAAATGCTCATTATTGTCCTTCAAATTAACTGAAACAAGTTAAACTGTCATGTCTTAGAGCAATAATAGAACAATTATTGGTAGCATAAAGACATATTAGGTAACTATCTTAGGCTGTCTTATGTGATTCTTAGACTGTAACCATTAATGGCAGGGCAGTCTCTAATTAAGTCCACCCCTATAGGGGGAAAAAAAAAAATTAACCCTAAAACAATAGTAAAAATGTTCTAAGTAACATATAGAGATGAAGATGTTGGAGAATTCCAACATATATGGGGTCACACATGTATTATATTAAAATGTGTGGTGTTATTGTTTAAAGATTAGTCATTAAAGTGATCTGATAAAGTTAAGTTTGGACTAATGAGTATTAAATGTCATGGAAATATAGTGTAGAGACTGGAATGATTATTTTAAATTGATGAGGTGCCAATTTAAAATAATTAAAAGTTAATAACTTCTCAACAGTTATTTATTATGGTTATGGTTCCCAATTTGAACGTGAAATTATCCATCTATTTGGATCCCCATCAACAGAAAAGAAATCTAAGGAATCACGTATCAATTGGAAAATCACAACCCGTTTAAGCAATCACATCTATGGATCAAGGTACGTTTCCGCTTCTAATCTTCTCATGGATTTCAATATGAAGTATTGCATGTGTATATGGAAGGATTTGATGAAAGTCTGGATAGAAATCTTAAGAATTTTCAAATCCTACAGAAGATAGAATGGGAAATAAGGCAACCTTATTTATGTTGAGCGATCAAGATAGACAACAAATTAAATTCAACCTTATTCAGGAAAAGTTCTGGATTCAAGTGTGTCACCATCCATTCGAATGAAATGTTCATGACTTCACGTGCTAGTCTTTAATAGAAAAATCAACACTGCGTACCTACATGATGAAGGATATATTAAAGACTCTTTAAATTATACATGTGGTTCTATTTAACTGTTTAAGCTTTTATATCAATATGTTCATAACATAAAGAACTAATAAACTCCAACTAACTAATAAAATTGCTAAGGAAGTGCAACTACCTAGTGGACAAGTGATCCTAGGAACTACATATAAAATGAAGAAGAGATCTTGGAAAAATTAATATATTAGACCTTAATGGGTGGAACGAGGGCATGGCTCTTGAACACAAGACCAAGTCTACACTATTGGGCACTTGGATTTGTGAGAGCCCACCTCAAAAGATGAAAAGAGTATCTTAAAAGTCATTTGTTAATGGATTCGATGCCCTTTACTTTAATGGTACACAGTATTAGACAGTGCTATAGACTCCATTGATCCTATAATTTGAAACATGATTCGGAGGGTTTAATAAAATTTTTAAACTGAAATGAGCATTTTTAATCAATATAATAAGCAAGATTTTAACGTCTTTCTTTTTCTTAAATATATCCAGTTTGTCTAGTAATACGTTCAAGACATGGAATGATGATTTTTATTTTCCTGAGGGGGTTAGGTGATGAAAGCGAAAACCCACTTCAATGAAGAAGAAAGCCATTGTTGAAGTAGGAGTTGGATTCCACTTAAAGTGTTTGATTTATGTGAAGAAGACATGGGGATACCAAAATGCTTCATTCCCATAGTTTAAAAAAAGAATTTCTTTTTCTTAGACGTGTAAAGTATGGCTTCCACTAGAATATTCAACCTATCATTGATGCCCTAAATAATAAATTAAGTGGTAAAATCACCAATTATTGATGGAAAAGAGGCGCATCCCATAAGTACCAACTTCACATCATTAAGTAAACATTAGCAGCTTTTGATCAATTTATTCAAGAAAGTAATTCCATTTAGATCTTATTTATAGTTGTGTTTTTCAAGAAACATTTTATGTCCAATATCAGATGTTTTATGTTTTCTTTCATGGTTAATTCTAGGGTATATCACGTTTTACGACATGAATCCTTATACATATTTCATTAGGACAACTTGTGCGGACGACACATTGCTTCCGAACCCAGTCAGATATACAACAACAAATCGAACAAAGTATCAAAATAAAATTTAGTTCATCGTCGTGTCATCTTCTAAGCTCACGAGGAGAAAGGTTTCTTAAAAGTTAATGCAAGAAAACCCTGCATTCAAAAGTAAAAACATGCAACAATAATGCCCAGCACTCAAAACCTAAAGTCCATTATAAAATACTTTGCATAGATACATTATTTTCAGACTCTGCCTTTGATTATATGCTGTTCTGGGACGGCTACCTCTTTGAGAATTTTAGTACCACTACCACACTTTAGAGTACGTGTCAGGCCAAGAAATTGAACCCCACATTGATGCTTGAGAAAAGGGTACTGTTCTATATTAGAAAAGAAGAAAATTCTGTACTGAAATGAAGCGTGGCAGCTTACACTGAAGCTCGACAGCTAGATTTCCATGTTACAGTGGCTTGCATGATTGAAGGGAGCAGAAGAAATAACTGTTGGAATAATAGGGAAAGAATCTAGGTTAAAACGTTTAGTAACAGATTAAGAATTTATGAATATAATTTGTCAAAATAATGTGCACACTCATGGTCATTTATTCTGTGCTGCTTAGCATTTCGAGTTAGTGTCGTGTTTACATAACTTTAGTCCATTCGATGGAGTACACAACTTGTTCTTGAAGACTAGAACTAGTAAATATATCTCAAACACGTTTCATTCATTAACCTGTCATTAGATACGAATACAAAATAAAAAAAACTAACTAAATAATATCGTCCTTAATGCTAAGTGATAATGATGTTCTACAGACTTATTTCAACTTCTTAACAATGCTTTAGATGGTATTTTAACTCTTTAGAATTAGTTTGTTATCCATTTTTTTTTTCTTTTAGATCATACATGAGCTTGGAGAGTATTGAAGATAAAAAGGGATCGAAAATGTGAAGGAGTGGCGCATATTTGAATGGCCCGCGTGTTAGAAATGAAGAGCCGAGCCTAGGAGATCGAGTGGATCGAAGGGGAAAAAATTAGAAAAAATCTGAAGGAGAAATTCCTGGTCAACTATAAAAGGGAATTGCTCGCTCGAGGGAATTCATAATGTAGGAAGATAATGTTGTCGTTGTCCACTCGAGCGGGGAGAGGTCCACTCGAGTGCCATGTGTATTTGAAATTTTGGCACATGATTTTTGAGCTCTAATTCATGCCTATACATGGATGATCCCTTGGACTTGAATGATTAGAGAATTTTGGGGACAAAAACTCCAATAGTACTCTCATTCATCCTGGGTTTTCTTCGAGTTCAAAAGGAAGAGAAAGAGGGAGAGTATTGAAGATTTTCAAAGTGACGAAAAAAGACAAGTTTTGTTATCACTTGTCTTCAGAGGCAGATCTATCAGGGGGCTGGCCTTGGCTATAGCCCTGCCCCAACCCACAAGGTAAATTTATACAAGCACAACTTCATATTGAGTTTCAGCCCAATCTCAATTATCCAAATATTCTTTCATGATATTAATAAAATGTGAACATTTTATTACCAAATTAGATTTTTATTTAATGCATATTTTACTTATAATTATATATAAACTTTTATAATAAATAAAATTGTATTGATTAAAGCTAAAATAAATTACTTATTAGAAAGAAACTTACTTATTTTGACCATGAAATTGATATTACTAACAAAATAAGTGACTTACTTTATATTTAATTTTACAATAAAAAAATATTTATAAGAACTTATTTATTTATAAATAATAAAATCATATGTATATTATAGAAGTTGAATCAAATATGAACGTGAAAAAAATAAAAAAAATTTTACCCTCGAAATTTCTTGTCCTTTTTTTCACTTTGGGTGGATTCTTCGCTCATGGCAGAATGTGTTGGTATAAAATATACTAATGCCCACATTAGAAAATATTTTGAGAATGACGACATATAATAATGTATTTTCTGTTACCTTTTTTGCCAAAACTTTCAATTGTTTGAAACAAATGTTAGTAAAAAAAATTTTTGAGTATTTTTTTAGTTTTTGGTTGAGGATATATATCATATGCTTACTTTTATCGTGCTCCTATCAGTTTATATTATTTAAGGTGAGCATCAATTTTGTATTTCGCAAGAAAAAGTACGAATATGTAGTGAGAATTTAAACTTGTATTTCATTGAGTGTCAGATGCTATTTTTCAGAAATGTAATTGGTGTAGTTTCTTAAACTCCATCTCTTAATCTGCCCTATTGACTGGTACGTCTCCCATGCCGATGAATTAAAGATATAGAGATGGGAAAGTCAGCTCTGATACCACTTGACGCAACGCGAAATAAAGAATTCAAGCGAAAACTTTAAAAACACAAATTTTGAAATCCACCAAATTATAAAAAATTAAACTCGCGAATTTTATTAATTTAAGATGATAAAAAACAATGAGATAACCTTTTATTTGTAAAGGTTTATATGAAAACCTAATTTAATATGACTAAAATTTAAAAAAAATCGAAATAAACTAAATGACAAAAATAGTGCTAAAGCTTTAAAAAATAGTTTTACTTGTATCGTCGTCCTCTTTTCGGAATGATATTATGAGCCTAAATCAAAATTTGGATGTTCTCTATGCACTTACTTTTTCCCTATTTTGATCCAATTCTTCTTCCATCAGTTCACAATATGTTCTACATCAGTTGTTACTTTGATTTAAATTAAAATTTGAATTTGAATTTTTACCGTACATATGACTTCTTTTACCTCATGTATGTACACTACATCACCTTTTGAAGTTATATTTTTCTTTTTTCTAAAATTAGTTGATTTTGTGATATGTCAAATTTTAATGACAAAACAGTGTCATGGACGGTCAAATAGGGACATGTAAATTTTCGAGCTCGTCTCAAAATGATATTTGCCTTTACCTGTAGTGCGCAAATTGAATTGTCAAGGAACTCGTTCTAAGATTTACAATGACATCGAGAAAAACTATTAATTATCTGTATATTGGATTTCTGGATAAAAAGTTAAAAACGCGATGGGCTAATTTGCAACAACTCTTCCCACAAACAGTTTTTAGCTAGTATGGAATGAGGCCGTTAACAATTTGAACACATACAACTGGGCCTAATTAGTCCGTTGGATTATATAAATATGTAGGCCCATTCTACACATTAAGCTGGCCAGTCCAGGTTCAATTTTTTTAGGTAATTGAAGTTCAGGCCCATAAAAGTTGAGTAGAAGACCCGACTTTTCCAAAACAGGTCATGCCTAAATAAAGCAACTGCAGTTGCAGTCGCAAGGCGGAAAAATTGCTTGCCTTACGATTACACCCTCGGGGCCTTGTTGTCGCAAGTTATGTATTTTCTTTTCCTGATCAACTTGGTTTCTTGACTTCTCTTTTTGTTCAAATCGAGTAAATTTTTATTTGCATCTTGGATCCTTTATCTTTAGATCTTTACAATTCAATTCTCATTCTCCACAATTGTCGTTGCTGATTTGTTACGAGTTTCCAAAGTTTATAATTGAGTTATTAAACTTTCAAATATTTGATTTACCTCGCGAAACTTGTGAATTTTTTTTTCCGATTGGCCCCTTAATTCTTTTAGTGGCTGTCTGGGCGCCTTTATGGAGGAGAAAAAATCAATTTTTTAACCGTTATAGCCTACAATTGTTGACCCTCTCTCTCACTGCTGGGACCAGCATGTCTCCTCCAACGATGGTATTTCTGATTTTAAGTGGGCATTTAATTGGAACCAGACATGCCCTTAATTGATCACATCCAGTCTGAATAATTTTCAATCGCTCTGAATTAACTTTAATTAAGCAATAAAACGCCTTTTTCATTCCCGTATATCAAAGTTTGAGTTTTACCTAAAATTAATATAACTTACACTAAATTATGTAGACATCCTCTCAATTTAACAATAAATAATCAAGCTTAAAGGTCGATAAGTCATGTATAACACATGCTTATCAATGATGCGATGAAATCGTTGCTTTGAATATCTTCACCTCCCATAACATTTGTGGCGGATAAAGGAATCGGCTTGATGCAACATGATTTGCATTCAACTTATGTATAATAGTCACGTGACGTTTTTGAAACTTGATTTAAATAAAAATAAGAAAAAGTAAAAGGAAATTATCAAAAGCTCGATATGTATCCACTTCCTTGTGATTTTCTCTAAAGTAAACGAACCAACCCGTGATTCATAAGCTACTAAAACAATTATTCCTTCTCTAATCTATGACAAAAGAGTTATGAACCCGTGATTCATAAGTTACAAAACAATTATGGTGTTTCCCTAATCCTCGACCAACTAAACATAAAAAATAAAAAAATAAAATAAGATTAAGCACTTCAAGTACAAAAGTATTCCTAAATTGAGTTAATTTAATCAATGGTCACTGAACTTTACTAAAAATTACTACTTGCTTATCAAAATTTAAAAAGTGCGAGATAATGAGTGACTTAAAACAATATTTAATGATTAACGAGTGGCTTTAAATTTTTCAAATGAGCAACGAATGACTTAAAACGATATTTAATGATGAACGAATAGTTTTAAATTTTACAATTAGTGGGCTTAATCCTTTTAGTTACCTTTCTATCACCCATATTATTTCCACTAGTTCATGTGAACAAAAATCAACTTAAAGGATGAAAATACTACATGGCACTGAGGAGTTAAAATAATAATAGCATGGACAAAAAAATCTATGTGGTGTGTGACAATAATTGCCTAAGTAATCGCATGTTGTTGTCCACTACAATTGTATGGACAATTTCTGTTATTGAAGTTCACTATTGTTCTCCCATTCTTCTTGTAGATAAAATATAATGGTAGATTTCAGTAATAGAAACTGCTCATGCGACCATAGTGGACGATACCAAGTGATTTTTCATCTGTAACATTGATTTTTGTCCACTTGGACTGATGAAAGTGAAATGGTTAATGGATGGGAAACTTTGTTCAAATTCGATTTGAGCAACGATTAACCTTTTAAATTTCGGTGGATAAGTGTTAACCTATAACAAAGTTTAGTGAGTAATGAGTAACATTTTAAATTTTGGTGAATAAGTAGTAACGTATAGCAAATTTCAGTAACAATTGATTAAATTAACTCTCCTAAATTATGGTAAGCATGTCACATAAGAAAAACAAACTATAATATGACAAAAAAGCCTCATAACATCATTAGCATCGCAATTAATGAGTTGGGCATGCAATTAAGTGCAATAATATTAAATAATAACACTTTAATTTATAAATGATCTATCATGATGCTCAGCTCGACACTTTAGACGAAAAACTCCTTTTACGAGAGCACAAATATTTTTTTCCGGAACAAAGATGAAGGAGAAATTACCTTTTTTTTTTCTTCATTATATTTAGAATGAGAAATTTATTGGTGATCACAAATTTAAATTAAATTTTATCCTTCAATAAATGTGCTGCACATTTTGTGCTTAACTTAGGACAGAAGAAATGGTAAATGATATTGGAATTTCCACATGTTTTATGTATAGAATAAAATGCCAGATAGCAATATTTGATTGGAGTTTATAATACAAGTAATTTTATTCTTGGAAAGTTGTGATCCCTTGTAATCTACGTAACATATGCCTTAACCTACCCAGCATACCAAAAGGAAGAAAAAGACGCACACACGTAGTCCCCAGTGAAAGCCGGTAACGGCAAGTGAGGGAGAGGGCCCCCACAAATAACTGGTCAACAGTCAAATTTATGCGCTTCTTATAGCGCAGTGGTGTTCGTGCCATTCACACGAAGCACCCTCCATATTTCCACCATTCCCTATTCATTCACAATTCCCCACATTCAATTCAGTTCTCAGAGCAAAGGAAAATGGCCTACTTGCAGGATGAATCCGAATCCGACTTTTTCGACCGCATACCCGACCCGATTGTACTCCTCATCTTCAACAACCTATCTGATATCAAGTCCCTCATTTGTTGTCGATCCGTTTCCAAGCGGTTCAACTCGCTTGTCCCTCAGACGGACTCAGTCCTCCTCCGTGTGGACAGGGTAATCTCCGCCTCTGACTCTGAGTTTGACTATGGCGTTTCGTTTGTTTTCACACTCTTTAAGTCTTTGTTCAAGTCTCTTCAGGATCTCATTTCGCCATACAAGGCATCTTTGCCTGAACCGACCCGGTCTCAGAACTCACCCACTCAGATCCTTCGAGGGTTCGACGGGATAAGGAATCTACGAGTCGAGTTGCCTTCTGGAGACCTGAGGCTGGAGAAGGGCACGACGATTAAATGGGTGGCGAGATTTGGGAAGACCCTGAAGAGTTGTGTAATTTTGGGGTTCAGAAATAGTAATACGGGTTTGGAAGGAATGGTGGATTTTGATAATAATGGTGGCGCCGGAGCTGGAGGAGGACTGAAAATGCGCGTTGTATGGACTATAAGCGCTTTGATCGCGGCCTCTGCAAGGCATTACATGATGCTAGACGTGATTAGCGAGCAAAATCATCTTACAAATCTCATTGTAAACGACAGGGAGAATGAGGGAACTGTAATAGTCGACAAAGACGGGCTGAAAGAATGCCGGAATTCTTCTGTCGACGAAGCAGAGGAAGAAATAAATGAAAGCAGCAATGGGACTGACAGCGGATTGTGGTGGAGGACTGATAGGACGACAGTACCTGCAGTAAGAATGAGGATGCGGCACGAGGCAAGAATGGAACTTTCTGGAGGAATGATAATGGAGGGTGCCACATTGGTGGTGGTGCGGCCGGTGAGCGGTGGCGGGGAGCGGAATGAGATGGAGGAGCAGAGCGGCGACATTGAATTGGCCGCCGGAGCCTTCGCGAAAGAAGGAATTTATGCTGAGGCTGCAGAGAGATTGCTCAAGAGCAGAAGTTATATTCTAGAAATGAACTCGTTTTGATTTACATTATTGATCTCAGTTAATTTTGGCAGATTTGTGCCATTTTGTAAATATCTACGTTTTTTGTACTGTTTAACGTTAAATTTTGTGGTTTAGTTTGTGTTTAAAAATACATGAAATATGATTAATCAAAAACTGCTTAATGTTAAATTTTGTGGTTTAGTTTGTGTTTAAAAATACACGAAATATGATTAATCAAAGAGTATTCGTCATTTGACTTTTCCGCACGGGCTTAATTTACGTATAAGAAACCAAATCAATCGAACTAAAATCAACATGTTGACAGTTGAAATCAAATGGAAATTCAGATCCTTAGATAAAATGGAAAATACTAGGCATATAAATTCCGTTGAGCTATGTGGGATATCTTGATTCTTGAAGCTCTATATTAACCTGTTTGACATTTCTTAGAAACTCATCAAGTATTACATCATATGCTCTAAGCGTGGAGAACTGAAGTCCTAGGAAGTTTTGCCACCTAGGCTTGATGATATGAGTTGGGCTTCGTGGCCCGAAACACTCAAGCCTTGAGAAGCATTACATCTTAGTCTTGATGTTATGGGTTGGGCTTCGAACCCCAACTCTAAAGCCTTTGTTAGATGAGACTCACACAATCGTGCATCATAAATGACGACTCATTATATTGTTGTACATTAACTACTTCGAGGATAAAGTGCAATAATCTAAATTGTATGTAGTTCGTGGAAGAATTTCATCCTTTTCGCTTCTCGATCATCAACCTGAAATTCAACTTTACCAAGTATTTTTCTAGGATAACTTGGTATGGAGAAATTTGATCTTTGCATATATTAATACCCATTATGATGAAAAGTTGCATCATTTTGTATGTGAATGTATGTCTGAACGTGCCATACTTTTTGGTAGTTAATTGGGTAATTGACACAAATGTCAATAAATTGGCCGACTAATAATTCTTGGCAGAGTTTAAATGGAATTTGTGACCTACAAAAAAGGTGCTACATTTAAAATTCTATGAAACAGCACTTTGATAATTTTGAGCCCATTTTAGTCAATTTGCTAGTTTAGGGCAGCAAAAGGTTTTAACTGGACCAAAGTTTAGGGAGTCGCACAGTCATTTTAGGTTTCATGTTTAACCTTGATCGAGTACTTAAAATTGATTCAATTTAGAGAAACTCTGGGCCGTGCTCAAATTTTTGACGAGTATTCATTCATCGAAATCAAGTCGAGGTCGAACCCCTCCAATCAATGACCTTTACTTGGAAGGAAATGTCGTTGGAACTAAAGAATGACTAGCAAATGGACCTTGATTATCGACTATTGACAACACGTAAGAAAACCTTTGCTTCACTCCATAAATCGAGGAACAAATATAGCATCCATCCTTTTTTAACCTTTCGTGTCATTCCATTTCTCTATAAGAAAAAGCTTATGTTGATGTAGTGCTGGATTATTGATTTTACAATATCATAGTTAGCTATTTGATAAAAAAAAAAATGTTGCGTGGAGTTCATACCTCTTAGCCCTTTGTTGAATTCGAATTAACTTACAATTTATTAAATATAATTCATCTTAGAGTCCTCTCTCTCGCAGGTGAGGTTTTCCTTCCTCCCTCTCGTAGGTGGGGTTTTCTTTCTGGGTTTTCCTTGGAAAATCCTAGATTTGTCCTCTCAGACGTTGGCCTGTAGAGGTGGTGGAATGGAGTGGGATTGAGACCCAGGTCGGTCAGAGGCTGCATCGCAGTTCAAATAGAAATAGCTTCTTAAAAGTTACATGAAAACAAATAAAACTAACTTCCACTCATAAAATATTGAGAAATTGGGGTAATGGAATTTCAGCCTACGGAGAGATAATTACTAGTCGAATTTAGTTAGCTACTAATAATGTGTACTTATTTCAGTTTGCCTTAATGGAATGGTGTGTACATGAGCAAGTTTGAGTTTGATGGAATATAGTTATTTTGGGGTTATGATGTTGGTTAATGATCGAGTTATGTTGGACGGAGGGAAACTTTAAAGAACTTAATGTATGAATAACTTTCATATATATAATAAGAAAAGTTCATAATACGACATTACTTATTGAAATGGCATTCAACGATATCTTACAACATAAGATTAATATATGGTAGAATGTATATTTAGATCCACGGTAAATATTCGTTAAGTGTAGAGTGTCACATAATCAATAAGAAAATTATCGTTCATTTTGTTACGAATTGTCGTCTTTACATGTTTCATGGCTGAAAATGATCGCTCAATAGTTAGAGTCAAAAAACATATATCAAATGCAAGACAAATCAATTTGGTCAACATAATATAATTATTTGATCTTCTACTAGCAACCAGTTCCCGAAATAATTCAAAGAGTGCATGTACTTGAAGTCGAGGTCCAGAATCACATTGTTTTAAATGTATTGCAACTCAACTTTCAAACAATAGATCTCATGCGATTTAAATGCAAATATTATCCATATGTTCAAAATATGTGAAAGTTCAAGTCCGACTCTATTTTCTAAAATCATAATGGAAAAAAAGAGAAGAAATTAGAACCTTCCATACCATACAGAAACGAAAAAAACAGGGAAGACACAAATATATAGGATCCACTTTTTTAAATTATATTTAAATCAAGTGGGACCACATCCATGTGACTATCTTGTACAACTTCTAGCACAAAATTTCTGTACATTCAGCGTTATAAGTGCATATAAGGTGCACGTATTAGAAGACATTGAATCATAAAACACATTGATCTTTTTATTTCCTTTAATATTGTCCATTATCGTGTTTGTCCACCTTACCAAAAACAGATGTTAAAAATTCCTTTTGCTTCTTTCTATTTTTCCAAAACTTCTCTCGCAATCTTCGATGAACATTATTACCAATATATCTAACATCTGGGGATTGCTAAAATTGTTGTGTTGAGAGAGATTCAAACTACATTGGAGATTGTACATGGAAACACTCAATTTCAATTTCAGAGAAAGCCAACAAAATGGTGTCACAGACAGTCACCCTTTCATTTGAAGCACAATTTGCTTATTTCACTCAAATACTCACATTTTACTGCATGGACCACAAACAAAAAGCGACCTATCTATTGGATTTAGAAAGTAAAGTATTCTTTCTTTGATATTAGAATCAATTAAAGACATTTTGTAAGTTGAACTTGTCATCTGTCATTTTCAATTTCGTCCAATTTGAAATATTGTAATGCTAAGACCCTGTTTGTGGCCTACATCGAGAAAGATAATAGTGATTGAACTGAATTAGGCACAAGACTTTTGGCGACAATAATGGGGGGAAGCTATAGGCTCTTGGGATAATGACACTTCTAAATTTTCAAGAAAAATAAATGGAACAAAATTTCAAATAGGGATTATTATTTTCTTAGCTAAAGTCAAGGGTTCAAAGATTGATACCTCCTTTCACCCGCCCCTGATTTAAAAAGAAAAAATTAAAGGCCTAGATCTTCAACTTGGTTTTTTAGAAGTTATATCCGACCTTTTCGCCGTGCCAACAAAAATGTTTAGTAAAATCTAGCCCTATTGAAGAGCCAAGACAAAATAGGGTGTGGCATTGTTAAGGTAGCAGTGTACGTCAGACGACGTATGGAAAGAATCTTTTGAAAATTAACATGATCTACATGCCTACTTTATACAACTACAACACTTGTTCTAAACTCAACTTTTCCACTCATGTACCCATCAGTTGCCAACCCTACACAATATTCTAACCCACAACACTCAACTTTGTTGCATGGTGCATTTAACCTAATTTGTAGGGCCTTTTTGCTTAGGCCCGCATGCATTTTGTGCCTTTCTTTGAAAAGCTTACCAAAAACAATAAGAAAAAAATACGCAATCTCTATTCTAAAGAAAAAGCCCATTTTTCATAAGTTAATCCTTGTGAAGGCTCAATTATTGAAGCTTTGGAGGCAGTGTGAAAGCCATTTTAATAATTTCTTGATTTTAGAACAAAAAATCAAGAAAATAGATGGGGATGGGTACCAAATGTTGCGGACCACATTTCATACAATTTTTACTTTCCTTAATTGAATTGCGCCGTTTGTTTTGATTATTAAGGTATAACTACTTTTGGCCATTAGATTAGGAGCCTTAATGATTTTACTTAGGGGGCGCTAAATCTTGGTGTACTAAATTTAATCCAATTAAATACCATTTTGACATATTTAAATTAAACCCGTAATTTTTTGAATTTGGCACATTAAAATTTGATTGCATTAAAAAAAATAATAAATAAATAAAGACAATTTTATTGATTTTTAATCTTTAAATAAAAAGTCGCCATTTTTTTATACCCACTCCTAGAGGCATAAAGTGAATTGATTTGATCCATCCAAACTAGCGTGAAGAACAATGGCCTTCCACCTAGGCAACAAATTTCTTTTTCTATTTTTTGGGTTATTTTCTATAAAATAAATTAAATTAAATTAAAAAGTGGACCGTGTGAGCGGCTGGGCATGGATAGGAAGGTCACTATTCTATGTAGACTAGTCTACGACACGACATGTTCCGTTC